CTGTCTTCCCTTAAACTATGAGATTAAAATCGCTTCATATTTTTCTTTCTGTATTATATCCTTATATAAAATCTTTCCTTTACATACTACACCATCGAGTTAACTGCTTCTATGAATTCGATGTTCATCTTGTTGTGCTAATGAGGTATAGCAACATGGACTGATGTATATACGTGCCTAGCCCTACGTTGTAGCTGACTGACTGACTGACTGACAGTAAGTTTAGAAGAACACTAAAGGTAGACGAAACAAACTAAAGCATCAATCTATCCCATAATTTATTATTGAACTGAGAAGTTTTTGTAGATCCAAATCAAATAGTTGTTGTTCACAGGCCTATCGTAATCAGTTATAGTATACGTAAGATAATAAGTTTCAGAATCTGTCTGAACTGAGTGAATACATTTAATCTCTATCAAAATACACTCAGAAGAGATAAGCATGAGTTTCGCTATTCATTAATACAGATATTAACCTTTCCGATGAGTTAAATCAACAAGACGAAACAACTACTGTTATCATTACTAACAACATATCAAATAATTATTGTATACGTCATTATATAAGGTCTGGAATTGTACTTTGATCTACTTTAGTTGTTTTGTTCTTTTTTTCAAGTATCTATGCACTACTGAACCATATGTTCAATCATCTTACTATAAATAATTATGGAGGAAATCAAGTTTTATCTCACTAGACGACACTATTTACATGAATAATATCGGTTCACATGATGCTTATCTTGTTTAAGTTAATTTTTCCTTCTTATTTCTATATCATATTGATTGTATGGTGTCTGTAAGCGTTTATTAGAGTTTTAGTTCATACTTGAAATGACTATTTCCTTTAAAATGAATTTGATAAATTTATATCTTTTATGTTCAGTAATTGAATTCATGAGGCGATTAAAGCTAGACTATTAAGGAAAGTTTAGAAGCATTAGACAACTGTTTCGTTCTAGTACGAGACTCTTCAGTAGTGTGCATCCACGATTTATCGGTCTCGCAAGTGAACATTTAACCTCTAAACCATTGAACCGGCATCTAATAAAACTACGCCACGGTTTATCATTGTCATCAGTTAGTTATTATTTCACAACAGACCTAATTGAACTCTACTGGTTACGGTTTCTCACTAGAACTCTAGGAAATACCTCTTGAAGCCTGTCACAAGTGAGTAATAGATGTCAATGTAAACTAATGATTGATAATGTTGATAGAACGAATCGTTAAATTATAGATTTTCAGAAATAAACATCAAAATGATTTTGAATAATCAATAAAAGGCTAGACATATTCAAAGAGTTTTATTGATTTATTTTTTTGATCCAAATTTAAAGATGATCAAATGTGACACATTCATAATTTCAATAGTTAAGATCACGAGTCAGTTGAAGCTAGACCACCATGGAAAACCTGGAAGCACTGGACGGCCGTTTCGTCCTATTGTGAGACTCCTCAGCAGTGCGTATCCATAGCCTCGCCCCCTACGAGATTCGAACCCAGGACCTACTGGGTTCCAGGTTTTCCACGGTGGTCTAGCTTCAATTGTCTCATGATCTTAACCATTGAAATTACTATAATATCCACAAAACCCATCTGATACATTCATAATTATTTGAAATGGAATATTAAATAATCTTCATTGAAAAAATCCTTAAATTTGATCGATATTGTTTTTTAAACATAGAACACCTTGGTAGAAGTAGTAGTAGTAGTAGTAGTAGTAGTAGTAGTAGTAGTAGTAGTAGTAGTAGTAGTAGTAGTAGTAGTAGTAGTAGTAGTATTAGTAGTAGTTGTAGTAGTAGTAGTAGTAGTAGTAGTAGTAGTAGTAGTAGTAGTAGTAGTAGTAGTAGTAGTAGTAGTAGTAGTAGTAGTAGTAGTAGTAGTAGTAGTAGTAGTATATATCTTCGATCATACATAAACTTCAAAAGAACGAATAATACTCCTTTACAATACTAATGTACACAAATTATAGAAGATGACATATGAATTTTATATGTAAATGATGTTATTTATAACTAGTCGATAAAATACACCCATTAAAATATTGTATAATGAAAGATTGATTCAATGAAGAGTTCGTTTTTGGCAAATTCATTTTTAAAGCTGTACAATTGCAAATATACATATACTTATTGCCTAGAAATGTTTTCTACATATAAGAAAAGATGGATAGTGGTTAGGAATGGAATCAAGAATGCGCGTTTCGCCCTATTCGGGACTCATCAGCTGGATGTATCAGCATCTCAGAATTGATGTTCCCTCTGGGACTCGAACCCAGTACTTTTCGCTTCAAACGCCATTGAGTTATTCATTTAATTGTTTGATTGTCAATGATTTAAATTTTCATCAAAATTTAGATAGGGAAATTATGATTGTCAAAGGATGGCTCAATATGATAAGATAAAAATGTTGAAATTGAGATTAAATGTAATCAGAAGGATCGTTAGTTAATTAACGCTTAATCCATCGATGAACAGACAGAAATTAAATAATTGATTCCCTTTTTGTCTACGTCTCAGTGTTGATTTTATTCTGTCTAGGTAACATACAAAGTCACCAGTTAAATCAATGACTCAGTGTTACATTGTTTAATTGTTCAATGCTAAATATATTCAGAAAGGAAAGGATAAGTTCAAGTTATATACTTGTCGGTTTTCACCAATAAGCCACAACTTCTGCCTCAAGGACATTCATACTCTTCATACATTCAGAGTTGTGTCATTTATTGTTCTAACCGTTGGTTTATTCTATCTGTAACTAATCTCTTTAATACAGATGGTTTATACCTACGAACCAATTACAGGTTAGCAACTAATTGATTTTGGACGGTTATATACTGACTTGATATTTTAATAGTATTGTACTTACCATATGACAAAATATTCACAGTTTCTATCGCATGTAGGGTGGGGGTTTCACATTCGTAACTCTAATGGAGTCATCGTTCAGTGCTTCTTCATGTTTAATTGTTTTCATGATTATAACTATGATTTAAATTGTACCATTTTTAAAAAAACTCAAAGGTCCTAGGGATACAAATTAGCTGTCTCAGTCAATTTGATGGAGTTAAATTTAAAACTGCCTATATGATGTCTAGAAATCAAACACTGTACTACGAAGCCATATGCATTTCATCTCAATCATAAGTGTTTAAATAGATTTATTGACATCAGATGATTAATATTTGGAGCAACTATTGATCCAAGTTAACTTTGTAGGATTATTTTTCAAACTATTAAGTTGATTCTTATTATTCTACCGACTAGTAGTATATTTGATCTAAAAGAAAATAACTTTAAGTGAATGAAAAACAATGCTATATTGTATATGATCAGTGGAACTAATCAATCATCATCATCATTATTAATATCTCATGTTCTCACAATTATATACACTCATTCATCCAGAAAATAAACAAATGTAATAAAACGTGTTGATCATTTTGTACCATTGTTACCTATGCTCATTTCAAATGATGAAAAGCATGGGGAGACATACACATAAGATCATAATTATTATTGTTCATAAGTTTAGTAAAATATTTGATAAATTACAGAAATAAAACATGATGATGATGATGATGATGATGATGATGATGATGATGATGATGATGATGATGATGATGATGATGATGATGATGATGATGATGATGATGATGATGATGATGATGATGATGATGATGATGATGATGATGATGATGATGATGATGATGATGATGATGATGATGATGATGATGATGATGATGATGATGATGATGATGATGATGATGATGATGATGATGATGATGATGATGATGATGATGATGATGATGATGATGATGATGATGATGATGATGATGATGATGATGATGATGATGATGATGATGATGATGATGATGATGATGATGATGATGATGATGATGATGATGATGATGATGATGATGATGATGATGATGATGATGATGATGATGATGATGATGATGATGATGATGATGATGATGATGATGATGATGATGATGATGATGATGATGATGATGATGATGATGATGATGATGATGATGATGATGATGATGATGATGATGATGATGATGATGATGATGATGATGATGATGATGATGATGATGATGATGATGATGATGATGATGATGATGATGATGATGCCTAAATTACTGATAAATTTCTAATCACTGAATCAGTTATGATTAGATATTTCTATGCCTAATTCATTTTCCCTTGAACTGAAAAACCGAATTGTCAAATGGAAAATTAAAAATGGCGATGAATGACAGGAACAATTAATCATTAATTTAAACTCATAAATCGCGACTGTGTGAATTATATTTTTTTCCTATCAGTACTATTATCATGGCAACAAGACTTAACTGAATTTATTTACTCATCATCGTTACTACTCTTCTTTTCTTTATTATTTCCACGGTTTCTCCATATTAGTTTAGAATGGTAGTAATAAAACAGTGAAATATTTTCTAATCATGTTCATCAATCCCTAACTGATTAAATTCTTTGGCAAAAAAAATATATATATTGAATCAGTTGTCAAGGTTACCTTTAATTTTTGTTAGGCGTGGATATTTTCCAATTTGATTAGAAGTAGGTTGATTGACTAATTATAAATAAACACTTAATTGATTTAATTACATGATACACAAGATTTTATTTGTATGTTGTATTGTGTTAAGCTCAACATCACTTATAGCTCTTCTAGAGTTACTACCGATCCCAAGCCCGAGTAAAGGAGGAGGGTCGGACATGGGGTCGGCAACCCCATCCCATAGAAAAATATTTTGCGAAAAAAAAAGGCCAACCACATTAAACAAACTAAGTTAAGCTTCATTATCAGATACATCAAGAAAAATTATTATTCTACAGTATGAAAAACAGAGAAGTGACAATTGTCCACACAATCTATAACAGTACTTAGCGTTGACCAACTGAAACTATCCAATTTCAGCATAGATCCTCCGCGAGAAACTAAGAGAAATATCCTTTTTTTTTTAAATTTACAAGTTTGATGTTAGTTTATGAATTCACGATGTTAAATGTTGAATAGTTAGCAGAGACAAAGTGTTGTACGATTGTTTGTTATATAATCTCTGAATCATGCTATATAGTTAATATTATTGTAATTTAAAAGAAATCTTAAACCACATGTAGATTTGAACTTGAACTTTATGACTGATTAAAGTAAAAACTCTCTTTCAACCATTGACAACCATTTTTACTATCATAAAATCTTCTCATTCAATCAGTTATAAATCAATATAAAGACTTACATAAGTGTGTATTAGTTTTTATTTACAACAATTCACATTGACGAAGTGATTGCAATAGGGTACAAGTTGAAAATGAACAAGATGAGAAATAAATTAATCGAAACTATGTCGACACCAAATCAAATCCAACATATAAGAAATACAATTCAGTGTATGACAGATTAGAGTGAAAGTTAAAGGAGTTCAACCATGTCAAATGTGAGGGACAGATATCCGTCAACGGTGTTGGAATTCGACTGCGTAACGTTGCAACTTGACTCAAGTTAGAAACGTAAAGTAATAGATGCCGTTGACTTACCAATCGCGAAATTTTAAGTTACTTGTTTCAATTCCCTATGGGTTGTGAAAGTGCACTACTGAGTGGTCCAAACTAAAACGAAACAGCTATCCGGTGTTTCTTTATCTTCAATAGTTGTTTAACTAAAGTAAATCCTTGCTACAAACTATGAACAAGATCGATGAATAATAAACTACTAACTGTTTAGATAGAACCGACAAACGTAAATATGTGGAAGATCTAGCAAAGACGGCGGAAAAGGCTGCAAGAGAAGGGAACATGAGACAACTGTATGACATAACAAAGAAACTCTCTGGAAATCGCCGCAAACCAGAACGACCAGTGAAAAGTAAGGAAGGCGAGGTAATCACCAACATTGAAGAGCAACGAAACAGGTGGATAGAACACTTCAAAGAACTCTTGAATCGATCAGCCCCACTGAACACACCCAACATCGAAGCAGCACCCACGGACATCCCAATCAATGTTGGCCCACCAACAATTGAAGAAATCAGCATGTCCATCAGACAAATCAAGAATGGCAAGGCAGCAGGACCAGACAACATTCCAGCAGAGGCACTAAAAGCAGACGTAGCGGCAACTGCAAGGATACTCCACATTCTCTTCAATAAGATTTGGGATGAGGAACAAGTACCAAAAGACTGGAAAGAAGGACTCCTGATCAAAATACCGAAGAAAGGCGATCTCAGCAAGTGTGATAACTATAGGGGCATCACTCTTCTCTCAATACCGGGAAAAGTCTTCAACAGAGTATTGTTAAACAGGATGAAGGACTGCTTAGACACCCAACTTCGTGACCAACAGGCAGGATTCCGTAAGGATAGATCGTGTACAGATCAAATCGCAACTCTACGGATCGTTATGGAACAATCAATTGAATGGAATTCATCACTCTACATCAACTTCATTCACTACGAAAAAGCATTTGACAGTGTGGACAGGACAACACTATGGAAACTTCTTCGGCACTACGGCGTGCCTCAGAAGATAGTCAATATCATACAGAGTTCCTATGATGGATTAAACTGCAAAATCGTGCATGGAGGACAGTTGACAAAGTCGTTCGAAATAAAGACCGGTGTCAGGCAAGGTTGCTTACTCTCATTCTTTCTCTTTCTCCTGGTGATCGACTGGATCATGAAGACGTCAACATCTGAAGGGAAACACGGGATACAATGGACATCTAGGATGCAGTTGGACGATCTAGACTTTGCAGATGATCTGGCCCTTCTATCCCAAACGCAACAACAAATGCAGGAGAAGATGAACAGTGTGGCAGCAGCCTCAGCAACAGTAGGTCTCAATATACACAAAGAGAAAAACAAGATTCTCCGATACAACACAGAATGCACCAATCCAATCATAATTGACGGAGAAGATTTGGAAGATGTAAAAACCTTTACATATTTGGGCAGCATCATTGATGAACACGGTGGATCTGATGCAGATGTGAAGGCGCGGATCGGTAAAGCAAGAACAGCATATTTACAACTGAGGAACGTCTGGAACTCAAAGCAACTGTCAATCAACACCAAGATCAGGATTTTCAATACAAATGTCAAGACAGTTCTACTGTATGGGGCGGAAACCTGGAGAACTACGAAAGCAATCATTCAGAAAATACAGGTGTTTATTAACAATTGTCTACGCAAAATACTTCAGATCCATTGGCCAGACACTATTAGCAAAAACCAACTGTGGGAGAGAACAAAGCAGATTCCAGCAGAGGAAGAAATCAGGAAGAAGCGCTGGAAGTGGATAGGACACACATTGAGGAAAGCACCCAACTGCGTCACAAGACAAGCCCTCACATGGAATCCTTAAGGCCAAAGGAGGAGAGGAAGACCAAAGAACACATTACACCGGGAAATGGAAATAGACATGAGAAAAATGAACAAGAATTGGATGGAAGTAGAAAAGAAGGTCCATGACAGAGTGGGTTGTGGAATGCTGGTCGGCGGCCTATGCTCCATTGGGAGTAACAGGCGTAAGTAAGTAAGTAAGTAAAGTAACTGCTTAGATAATTATCCATCTACATTTCACTTAGCAATCTTTTCTCTTGGTTAGTAACTAAACGTCGATTGTTTTGTTTGAATTAACATAAATTCTAGATAAAACAACACCTAATGATCATTTGTATCTAACCATTTTCTTTTCAAAGAATATATTACGTTAATCAGAAGAAATCGCTAAGAATTTTCACTTACATTGAATACATTCTTGCATAATTCAATTAGAATTCCACAACCGCCTCATAGTATACTATTCATGTTTGTAGAAACTAAACCTAACAGAGTTGCTCGTAAGTTAAACGAAAAAAACAACAACTTTATACACATGTACAAATATGAAAATAGCAGATGTAGATACACATACACACACACACGTACGCATCTGCACTACTTTACATATGCATATATATATACAGAGTTGTATACACATGCATAATAGGCACTTTCACAGGGATTGTTACGTAAGACTCATAATAAGCATAGAGCATTACATGACCTTTTAATTGGTAACTCATGTATACAAATTGCCATTTTAATCAGATAAAAATCAGTAAAAGTACAGTTTATGTTTTATATCATCCTAAGATTATTTGTACTGAGTATGCACACATACACATACACACATACAAACATACGTACGATCATCTTAACTGAGGCATGTTAGAAAATACCGAAATCTTTCCGAATTCACAATTCCCTCCAATATCTTTAATATGTTTGTCAAACTAAATTAGTTATCAATGAATGAATGATGAGACACGATGCAGTTTTTTTGTTTTAATAATGGAATAGAAAAATCATGTGTACATTGTTTATTGTTGCCATGTTTGTGCATGTGAGAGTGCATGTGTGTGTGTGTGCGTACACACATGCAACTAAATGGAATACAACGATACAATCCAATTTATATCTACAATCAATTAAATTGTCAATAATCAAATTATAATTACAAGAAGGAAAAAAATAAAGTCAATTACTTATCCTGACAACATATTCAATTTGACAGTATCATATATTGTGAAACGTTCTCCTTTTTTTTAATTCTCTACATAGAACTTCCTTCAACGTGGATTTCAATCGAAACGACCAAAATCAATGGTAAAAAGTGAACGAAGAAAAAATCCTAAACAGTAAGTCATTTGTATCATTCTTTTATGATTTATGAATGTTAAGATGTTTAGCATAGCAACTAGTAGTAGGTAATACTCATCATTATGATTGAATTTTGTTATGTAATCAATAAAATAACCATCGTTCAACCTCTTAATTTATGTAAGAATAATCATCATTAAAAAGTAATCTTTGAAAAACAAAAACAAAACATCGTTTGAACATTAGTGATTTACTTCTGGATGAATTCTCGAGGTTCTAAAAGGTAGTAATGAACTTCATTCTTAAAATTTCATTGACAATTAGTTGAATTTGGAAATTATGGGATTAAGTGATAGTAAATAGGTCTGATGACCTTGAGTATAATTCATTATATGATCATCGATGTGTACTATTGATGTGTCTAATATATGAGTGACACAGCTGATAAGTACTCGACCAAAATCATCCACCTGAGCTACAAATCTTCTCCACTCCCTACTTTGTAATTTGTCCCAACTGAAGGTAATACATCATAAACAACATATACACAATTTGTAACTTCGCTTATCTTTGTAGTCTCATCAACCCTTGTGGTCTGATGTGTGATGAAATCTCAGCATGGATACAGAAGGCTCGACTAGCTTTTGCCAACTTGCGTCACTTATGACGTAGGCGAGATATCTGTCTATCAACCAAAGAACGTGTTTACTGCGCAGCAGTTCGTTCCGTCTTACTTTATGGCAGAGAAACATAGCCGGCAAGAGTAGAGGATATTCGTAGGTTACTAGTATTCGATCATAGGTATCTTCGAAATATTGTTCATATATCCTGGGACCACCGAGTAAGTAACACAGTTGTTAGAAAACGGGTACTAGGATGGCAAATCAATTGATGACGTAGTGAAACTTCATCAGTTGAGATGGCTGGGACACGTGTTACGTATGCCCAACGACCAACTGCCTCGACGTGCGATGCTCAATGGTATAGGAGTGTATTGGAAGAAAGCTAGGGGCAGCCAGACCAAAACATGGCACAAATCCATGAAGTCACTGACAAGTGGACTGAGTCATGTTGGTAGGTGTAGACTACCCGGTTGGGGACTGCGAGATGATAGCAACTGATGGTTAGAGACCCTGAATGACATGGATCAAAATCGTTTGCAATGGCGCAGGTGCATCCACTCTTTGTGTTCTCCCAAATTCTAATCTCCTGATTCCTCCTTGTTTCTTTTTTCTCTTCCCAAATTTGTTTCATTAGATAATACTCTGTAGATAGCATCTCCAAACCCTAATGTTTCCGATGACTGCTTATACTCTTACTACCTCTACCACTACGGGATTTGAATAGACAATTTTATCTCTGTGTTAATGTGGTATGGCAACTCGAACTGATGTACGTATGTACGACGTTCTACGTTGTTGCTGACTGACTGACTGACTGGCACATTTCTTACGGAAAATGATTTATTTTTACTGAACTATTGACGATTGATGAAATCGGTAGTGAACTTCAATTTTATTAAGTCATTGTAGAAGTTCTGTTATTAAGTCCGAGAGTATTTGTAGTGATAAATACGCTTTGCGGTGACAAAATTAGGCATAATATTTTTTCTTAATCAAGCGCTTACGACTGGTCCAATAGAAAATAAAAAACTACGATTAGTTGAGTTGGATATTCAGAACGTTGTCACCTGGTATATCTTCGTTGAACTGAGAGGACTGATTTCTAGGAAATAAAAAAACCCTTAAAGAAGTATTGACATTCTGCACTACTGCTACTGATTCTGATAAATTTAATTGATTATGATTATGATATGAAGCTCAATCAGGTAGTGAATACTTGCAAAATGAGCGTAGATCAACTATTAATCAACCCTTCGGTTGATATATTTTAGTCTGACTCACCTACCTAACTGAACCTACCGGACATCTGTGCAGCATACACACCTTGCTATAGATGTCACTCCACTAACAATACAACACATCAAAATCCCCAGCAGACAAATCAAGGGTGGAAAAACAGCAGCATCTGACAATTTACCTGTCGAGGTGAGTGGTGGTTGGATATACTCAACAAATGTCCTAACAATTTTACTCAATAAAGATTTACCACCTCATCAGTCGATTTGCTATACTCACCTAGTATTATATTCGTAACCAAGAAATTGTTTACTCTGTCGTTCCAAAATACACGAGCAATGCTTCAATGACACCTATGATCGGATATTATTAACCTACGAATATCCTCTATTCTTAATGTCCATATTTCACACTCATAAAGTAGAACAGAGCGAACTGCTGCTCAGTAAACTTACCCTTTGGTAGGAAGATGGATATCTCGCCTACTCAATAAGTCATGCAAGTTCAAAAAAGCCAAGCGATCTTTGAGTTCGACTGCTTCACTCCCTATCATTAATTCAGGTGATGACGCAAGCAAATCCTGAAGTAACGTTTTACATTTGGTGGGAGAGAACTGCATCCCAAAGATGCTTGCATTGTTATTTAAGGTGGTTAAAAGACCCGGTGTTTCACTAGCGTCCTCACCAAACAAGTGAATCTCCTGGTAGAAGATCAATGCATGAAAAGTCAGACAGGAGATTACAGACAGGAAATATTTGCCATTACTATTCTTGACTCATTTTCGTAAGGACATGGAGTATGACCGTTACTGGTTACCAGTATCACTGAAGAAATCAAAATCTTTTCTAGTGTAGATCTCCTAGCCATATACATAGAGATGCTGGAATTGATATGGAGGGAGTGTATCCGTTCAAGTTGTTACATCTACCAGTAAGAAGTTTGCATTTCTAACACAGCTCAGTTTAAGGGCTAGTAACTTTACGGACTGATCCATGTCATCATCTGCTTATTGTCATTTCTCCAATCTACATCTATACTAACCATAAGTAGTAACTTTGCATAAGTAACATTTCGGTTGATGAAATTTTACAATATCACTATCCAATATACAAACTTTTCGTAGGACCCTAGAATTAAATTTGTTTTCCTCACTTTACAGCTCTATTACATATAAGAAGTACTGCAAAAACAATTATAGTCAAATAATAATAAGCTAAGTCAAGTGTTCTTCCTTTAAACATTGGAGAAGATTTTTGAGTAGAATAGGTGAATCGATACTTTGAAGACTTGATTACTTACAGCCATTATTACGATTCTAATTCTAATCTGTCATGACGTAGGTGTATACACTCTCTGTCTTCCCTTAAATCGTGAGATTTAGATCGCTTGATATCTTTCTTTCTATCAACTAATTATTTCTTCCTGTATCATATCCTTATATGCAATCTTTCTTTTATACATTACTACAATTGAAGTGACTACCTCTTTGAATCTGGTGTTCATCTTGTTGTGCTAATGAGGTATGGCAACTTGGATCGATGCATATATGTGCCTTGTCCTATATTGTAGTTGATTGACTGACTGAATCTGTTATTATGCTTTCACTATATTTGGTTATTCGTATGTAACTTAACACTTAAAATAATAATCTTTCTTATATTCTCAAGTATCAACCTAGATTCAAATGACTTTCTTAGTCTTTGTCAAGTTGTCTTAAACTCAAGTACAATCATAATTATACTACTTAATTGAATGAATCACTATAATAATAATAATAATAATAATAATAATAATAATAATAATAATAATAATAATAATAATAATAATAATAATCGATTCAGTGGTTAGTTATTTGTTTGATCAATTAGTTGATTGATAGAGTAATGGAGTGCCAGTTTACTTTTTCTGAAAAGAAACGATTATAAGCATATCTTTTCCAACTGTTTAATCATATCAGTATCATTGTAGCTTCTAGCTTATCTATGGTATATCTGTATTCGTGTGAATGAGAGCACGTTGTGTGAACGTTTGTTTGCAGTTAATGCAGAACAGATAGCTTGTTCAGTTCTCAGAATTTTTTTTCGCAACCAACCTGTTATGCCAAAATTACTTCTGGAGCAGATTGACATCTGCATTTGCTGGTTGTTGCGTCTTCCCGAGATAGAATCACCAATCAGCTGACTGGGTATACTGATATGCGAGAGGGTGGGGAAGGTTTCTAGCTCAGATGGATGATGAAGTGTTCGAACACTTCAATTCTACCTGAAGTTTGTGATAATGATGTTGTTCAGGAGAGCGATGAAAGCTCCACGACCGAATCATCTAACTCAAAGAACAAAACTTCACCAAATATTGATATTTTAGTGAGTTTCTGGTCGTCTTGGTAGTTGTGGCACAACTGCGAAGGTGGGTGTGGCCAAACCCAACTAAAAGTACTCTATTGACTCAACTAACCAATTCTCCATTATTTTATGTTTTCACCTTAATTGTAACTATTATTGATCTCAGGTGGTTATGTACTGTCACCTGAAAAGTTATTGTTTACAAAATGTTAACTGTGATAGAATGGAAACTTAGTTGTATGATTCCTACCCTTACTTTCTTAACCCAGTCTACTGTATTATTGATACTATCTATCATGTTGATATAAACTTGAAGTTTTGTCTAAATCAAGGTAATTCATATGTTATGATAAGAGAACAAACAATAACACTAGCCACAATTAGGAAAAAGCCAAATAAGATTGAGTGACTAGTTATCTATGAAATTTATTCAGAAGGATTTAGAATTTAACCAGATTGCATTTAAGAGACTAATCAACTACAGTCCTAAACATCAATGGGGAGATTCAAGTAAAACAATATCAAGTGAATTTAACCTTCATCTCATTGCACAAGCAAGTGGTTATTAGGACTCAGTAGCTAAGTGAATAACGCGATAGCGTTTGAAGCGAATAGTATTGATTTCGCGTCTCAGAGTGAATATCAATTCTGAGATGCTGGTACACCCATCTGACGAGTCCCAAATAGGACAAAACACGCTTCCTGGATTCCATTGCTAGCCACTATCCATCTTTGCTTATAATGCTTGTAAATCAAGGCAATATTGAGGCAATACGCATAGTATGCACATATACCAATACGAGACTGATCAATTTCAGTCCTAAGCATCAATGGGAT